TCATCGATGATTATTTACACAGTTGGCATAAAGAAGAACATATAAACGTGATCTGACTAACTTCTAGCAGCTAAATGTGTTTGGAAAAATATTCAAAGGTTTTTATTCTCACAAACCGCGCGGACGTAAATGCGTCTGACTGTTGTGATTGGCTAAAGCAGACGTCTCACGTCAGCACGTTCTAGACGTGCACGCGCTTATTACGGTAATCTTCCTTCTGCATTCACACAGCGCAGCATTCCGGCAAATTACCGGTAATGTTACAACTTCTCTTTACGGAAAATAGCCAGAACGAATTTACCGGTATTTTCAAAAAGGACCTGTTCACACATACAGACCTTTCCGGAAAATTGCCGGCAATTATCCGGAAAGGTCTGTATGTGTGAAAGGGGCTATATACACACCAAACACATACATACATACATACATACATACATACATACATTCACACACACACGTGCACACACACACTACATGCATACAATAATTCTTATAGTTTCAATTCAATTCATACTTTTGATGAAAACACTGAATTATGACAGCTGCAAGCAATTTTGTCGGTCAGATGAGACTTCACAAGTGTGCATTTTCAGACTGCTCGTCCCTGAATGACTGGTGTACTTGACCAAGATTAAGCATTTTTTACAAGCAGCATACAGCGTCTTATCACCGTCACAGTTTACCCTCTGAACTTCTTTAATACTTCCGATTTCTCAACTACTTGTGTTAATGTAATGGACATGTCATTACCTCTAACTTTGCGCTGCAAATCATTTTTTCACCACATCAATTTCTCCGCGGATGCTGGCTTCCTCCAGCACTGATAGCTTCTGGGTCGTGTAGTTCTTTTTTAATTGCGTTATATTGTAGGCGTATTAAAAGAAAACTACAAAAATGGCAGTGCAATTTGTTGTCATCTTCTTGTTGGTTGGTTCCCGCTCCGGTCTGTTCCTGTTAATATTTAATCCTGTACTGTCCCAATCCTGTGATTAAAATGGAAGATGACTCCCATCCCACGGTAATCCCGTGACCTGTGGGATTCCCCAAAAAATGTTATCCTCTTGTGTATGCTATTGTGCTATTTTCCGGTGTTCTGCCGATTTTTCCTACCTTTCATTCGAAAAGTAGGTAGCTTATTTTGATGACGCAATATGCTACCTATCAGATTTTGCTACCAGTGTAAATTTAAATGTAAATTACTGTAAGATGAAGCTGTAACATCGCCCTAACCTACCTAACCCCAACCTCAAAACCATTCAAATACATTGTTGGGAGCATAATCTGACAGGTATGATAAAATGTCAGGACACCGGCATATGTTTTAAGCAGCAGATGGCTTTCCAGCCGCAACCCAGCACTGGGAAACACCCAAACACTCTCGCATAGATGCACAGACATACACAATGGGCGATTTAGTTTATTTAATTCACTTATAGCGCATGTCTGGAGTGTAGGGGAAAGCATGCGAAGCGACCTTCTTTCTGTGAGGTGACAGTGCTAACCACTGAGCCACCATGCCAACCTGGCAATGGAAAGCAAATTCAAACGCAGTTCATTGTGTTATGTTTGATTTTACACATGCTGAATACTACAAATCTGGGTGTTCTGAAAACATGGATGTTGTACATTTAAACATTTGCAGACCCTTTTTTCCAAAAGAGCCTACATTGTATTGAAATTGTTCTTATCAGCGGTTCATGCATTCCCTGGGAACCAAGCCCATAATCTTGATGTTGCTAGCGCCATGTTGTTCTGTGTGAGCTACGCAGTTGTACACAGTCTTCCTCCTGCAGAAAGAGTAGCAGTCCGTAGGGATGAGGAGGAGGTGGGCCAGCAGAACAGCTGATGCCTGAAGCCATGCAAGGATTTGCGCTGTATTATTGATAGAGGAGAGTAATTAGACTCTAGTGTAGCACCTGTTTCTGTCCCCACTAATGTTGTGCCACCTGAAGACGGCTCTCCCCAGGGCATGTTTGTGATGAATGACACAGCGACAGCTCCGAGTTTCTGACGATCATCACGCCATTCTTCATTATATCTTAATGTCATGGCAATCACTGCCCATCCCCCCCCCTTTTCCCCCTTCGTCATTGATTGTAATTAAGTTGAACTTCAAAATGATAATTTCATTCCAATCAGGGCTAATGCAGATATAATGCATATCGGCTGTGATAAGTGACCTGTAAAGCAGTGGAGCCCAGCAGGATCCCTTCATCAGTTTTTTTTTTTTGTCATTGCACTTTTTATTTCATTTGTTTTTTTGCTATTATTTCCTACTTTATACTATTAGTTTACATAAAAATGAACATTTTTGGCAATTATATTCTCACCTCGATATGGTTTTTAACCCGTAACACTGTGTTCTGACTACACACAACGTGACAATATTACAGCGACAAGCAATTTGGCTGTCTGCACCAAAGTCGACGCGACAACAGATACATTTCAATGTCAGCCATTGCTCTCTCAAGAAATAGTAAGGGTTATTATCTAAATAGTACATATTAAACCAATTTAATATTATTTAAAGTACATGAGCTGAGTGACTGATGTTGTTGAGTCACTGAGTTTCATTTTCAAACTGTTTGCTATTTTTTTTGGTGAACTATCTGCTGCTGCTTTCAATAGGAAGGCAATAAATGTCACTTATAATGGTGTCCGATCTCACATTGGTAGCATTTAACACTGAATATAGCCCATAATCTGTACCTGAGGTTATAATTGTCTTTGTAATTTACACTAGGGCAGGGCGATTAATCGAAATGGACATTCTGATAATCGATCTAATTTGTTCAGGTCAATTTTCTTAATTACTTTCCCTACCATTCGTGGAGTTAAGTGACCATGCTCTGTTTACTCTTCTGCATCAAGCACAGCGTATGGTCTGGCACAGCCTTCGCGGTCGCATACTACTCACCGTGACTCATGCTGATGCCGGCCTTTCAAAAAAAGTAACTACATGTTGCGATGATGCATATCGCAAGCTCTGTGATTGGTCAGCTTGGTATCATTGACGAGTGTGGGTGGCGTGGAGGGTAAAAAAAAAATTGAATAAGTAAATAAAATAATCATTAATTAATCGTAATTGATGTTAAATAGTTCAATCAATCGAGATTTTAGACCAAATCGTCCAGCCCTAGTTTATGCTGTTGTAAAGCTGCAGAAATCCACTCGTTAAGTCGCGACGTATCGGTGATGTATGGAATACTGTTTCCAGGTCTAAGCCGCTATTCATTTAGATGGAGAAAATATTAGTTTATGACCACAATTTAGTCATGCAACACATTGAAGTGAATTTTAAATAAAATCATGGCGTACACAACAGTCTCTGGACTTGCTGCATCGCAAACACCAATATTTTAACAATTTATAAAAGATGAATCCCTTTCTGGCTATCTGATATTAGACGTGGATATGTATTGCAATTGTGATTTTCGAAAGTAATACATTACGCCACTTTGTAAGCGTTTATTATTACCATTTGATGAGTCTCCCTATACAGTTTGGTATGGCACTTGGACCCGGAAGCCGCTTAGCGTGAAAACAAGCGGATGGAATCAGTTTCTAAAATAGAAATTGCATGCGTCACATGTTTTGACATGAAAAAGATACCTTTTATCACATGTTGTGTTGCCACGTGTGTGTAGTTTGGACATGGTGTAAGACTATTGTTCCTCTTCACAACCGATATATTTAATCACATATTTGAGATTTCTGTCTTTCTGTTTAAAGACTGTTCAACCAACACTCTGATGCATAATGTTTAATTTATGGTCTCCTCATGAATGTTTTGAAGCGTGAGTCTTAAAAGACTCTCTCAGATTTTGATTTATAATAGCTTCATTTGTGTTCAGAAGATAAACACATTTCCTTTGGCTTTAGAACGACATGAGGATGATCTGTGTCAGCTACGCCCAGTATCCTAATGTTGCATCTTCTCATTCTTCCCTGTCTTCACATTTTTCTCTCAGCACGATCATCTTCACTTTCAAATCGGTAACTACTTACTGCAAAGTTGTCACTTCATCTGACCATGTTGATAGCTCACTTTCCACTTCCTTCATATTGTTCATTTGGTCTATCTCAGAGTCTTTTGCCGCGTGTTATTTGTTGTTTCAGTTTTAATCTCTTGTATTTCATTTTTGAGGGAGCTGAAATCATCGGCAAGTGCACTTTTCAGCTCGGACTTAAACACCTCTGAGATATCCGCCTTTAACGAGTGAAAAATCCGATTTCAAGTCTGCCGAGTCCATTTTTTTCTACAATCAGGTGAAGGTGGAACTCAAAGATGAGGCGGAGTTAGTCCTAGAACCAGATGAGGAATCGTATTTGTACTTGCGTAGTTTTTCCACCATTATCTTATATTTTAGAAACGCATTCAAAGCAGAAATCACACAGTGTTTGATGACTTTTTTCGTATTTTTCATTTGGTCCATCTCAGAGTGTGTCACCGCAGTGTTATTTATCATTTTTGGTTTGACCGCTTTTTAATCGTTTTTAAGGGAGCTGAAATCATTGGCAAGTGCACTTTTCAACTTGGATTTAAACACCTGAGATGTCTGCCTTTAGCGAGTGAAGAATCTCCGATTTCAAGTCCGCCGAGTCCCTCCGAAGGGGATAAGGGCTTCCGCGATTGGGTGACGGTGGAACTCAAAGACGAGCTAGCGTTAGGCCTTCTGTAGAACCAGATGAGGCATCGTACTTGTACTTGCATAGTTTTTCCACCATAAGCTAGTATTTTAGAAACACATTCGAAGCAGAGATCACACAGTGTTTTGATATATGCCGCTGGTTTTATATCGTATAGCAGGAGATCGTCGGGAGCTCAAGCCAGACACGTCTTACTCCTTTGCCATGCAACCGGAAACCCAGCATGACAAGATTTTCTTTGTTTGGGTTGAACTAACTTTAACGTGGCATGGAAAATTGGCTTTCTGTACAGTTGGCTTTAATATAGTAACAGGCAAATATCAATCTTTCTGTATCTCTTCTTTTCTTAGTGTTTAAGAGAGGCTTGATGGGATGCCAGGTGTAGTTAATGTTTCAGCTATGAACAATCCCGACCAAGCCGTGGCTGAAGCTCTGGATCAGTTCTGCAACGCCCGGGAGCAAACATACGAGCAGTTCCTGTCCACTTTCACGTACCTGACTCCAGGTGATCATATTTAATACCACATACATCTTCTTTTCTCTGAAACATCCATTACTCCTTTGCCTGTGGACGTACTGTCGTATCCCATTGCAGAGAATGTGAGGGATCTGCGTTTGACTGCTCCTGGAGGACATAGAGACTTGTCCCGTAGAGAGATGGACAGCAGCCGAGAGCGACAACGAGTGGAGGAGGTGACAATGATGGAGGAGAGCATGCACCGACGGATGGGACAGGCCAACCGCTGCTCACCGACTGCTGATCAGGAAGAGGTCACAACCTTATAGATTTGACCCGCTCTGTCCGACAGTCTTTACCGGGAGAGGTTTAGCCAGACTTCTCCTTTACTTCCATCATTAAAGTGTTTAGCGTTAGCCGCTTTCCTGCTTATCTTTCACAGACCCACACTAATGTTAGAGATGCACAATATTGGAAAATTTGATTTGTGATATTTTTCTGCGATTACATTCTGCCTCTATTTGTAAAGAATTAATCATTTGGATTATTGGGATGATTTTGTAGGGGAGTGCATCTGCATAAAATATAATAAACCAATCACAAGCTTTGATAAATACTTTAGAACAGAGATAGAAAACTGTATTTTAAGGTTTTCTGGAACTATTCAGGCACAAATTAAATATTCAGTGTAAAATTACAGTGTATAGTCCTCACCGTCAGTGGTGGAAAGAGTACTGAAAAATCATACTGAAGTAAAATTATCATTACCTGCCTAAAAATGTAGTGTAAGTAGAGTAAAAGTATTTGTTGTAAATATTACTCAAATTATGATTAAAAAGTAGTATTATGCTGTAAAAAGCTGATTACATGGAATTTGTGAATGTGTGTAAACGTAACATTCTGTAGTGCGTTTAGTTATAGCCCAGCAGGCACACAACGTCATAAGGTGTTAGATTTAGGTTGTGATGTCAGGTGACCAAAATTCAAAGTCTAGCCAGCATCTAAGGACAACATTATATTGACAATCAATAACAACCTCAAATGACGTTGATATTTGGTTGATTTAATGTTGTGTTAGATAGTGACCAAAATTCAAAGTCGAGATCTTAAACCAACGACATGTTGAAGTCACATACTAGAATTTATTCGTCAGGTATGGCAGCTAAAATCAAAAGTCTGATAGACGTCATAATGGTAACGTCCACACAACGTCAAGCTGTAACATCATTAGATGTTGATATTTATTTGATTGTAGGTTAAAGGTTGGACATTGACATCTGCCTGATGTTGGGTTCTGACGTCAACCCGATTTTTTTTTTTTTTCATTTCCAAACAAAATGCAATGTTGAGGTACAACGTTAATCTGATGTCATGTTTACATATTGTGCCTGATGGATGTTCAAGGCCATTTCGGTCATCATACTGTAATTTTCTCATCAGTGACATGCATCTAAACAGTCTGTGGGTCAATGCGTGTAAAGATTTTGGACATCTTCTTGCACTTTTAATGCTTCCAAACAGTTTGCTGCAATTATAAATTGCCCATGTCTTGAGGTAGATCAAACAATTATTAGTCGTGCTGCTTCTCGACTCTAACGTTTGCATACATATTGACAATTGGTCATAAACTAAAACTCTCATTTTTCGTGAGGAGCCAGTACTAGCAATTAAATTATTGTCAACCAGCCAAAGTGGCTAGTGGGAGTGGCTGTCTAACCCTCCACAGCTGAAATCTACCCGCATTAGGCAGGCCGGTGGGTGTTAATGTCAAGCCCTGCTTCCATCACAGAAATGTAAGGCTCTGCCGTCTTTGTGACTGTCTGTTCCCGCAAGGAGCTCATTCTTTCACTGAGTGTGATTCAACATGATTACACTAATTTTAATTCTGCAAATTATTTTTTGTAAAGGGAATTAACTAATCTAAAAAAAAAAACTTGAGTTACAATTTAAAAAATAACTAAAATGTTATTACTTAATTTTTTTAAGTGATGCATTACTTGTTACTTAAAGTTATATAATTTTGTAACTCGGCATACTTGTAATGCATTACCCTCAACACTGTATGTGGGTTTCTTGTTTTTCGCAGTTAGGTTTTAAAAGCCGATACATTTGTTCAGTTTTGTAATCAGGTTCAGAAAAATCATAGCAAGATTTATGTAATTAGCCCATATATCAGTTATTTCCTTCCAAATATAAAAAGCTATTGGTTAACTTATCACCTAAAATGTCTGTATTGTTTTTAAAACCCCACTCTTAAAACATTGGCCTTTTTAGGTCACTAAAATATTGGTTTTTGTATTTGGCAGATTGTTTTATCCAAAGCAAAGCAGGTTAAATTTTCATTTACAGTACGCATTTGATCAGTTCTTGCTTTCCATGGGAATCAAACCCACAACCTTGGTGTCGCAAGTGTCATGCTGTAGTATTTGTGCTACAAGAATGCATCACAAACCGTCTTTGTTGTGGTGACCCACAATCCCAATGCAATGCACTGAAAATGGCTTTAAACCCATTAGCAACCAACCAGCATTGTTGCTGCGCTTTTAGTATGGGTGAGCACTCAAAATACTAAAATGTTCTTCATTTTCTCTTTTTCATGTATTTCTTCTTCGAGACTTTTGGAATTCTTCTCTCAGCGTATTGAATGGCTTCATTTCAATGTGTGTTTAGCTTATCTGTCTGTCTGTATGTGTGTGTGTGTGTGAACGGTGCTTAAGACTCCCGCCTGGCTTGCGTATTGATCTCAGTGGGACTCTGGCAAGCCACTGCACCAGTTACTGTCAATAACGCAAAGCACATCGGCCAACATCCCAGGCTAGTCAATGCTAAAAAAAAGCCTCCGCATTATTTGGCTATGCCGGCCACAAGAAGAGAAAGACGGCTATATTGATTCTAATTTTGTTTTGATAGTAATCACCCTGATTCACATGGCTGCTGTCATTTCGGGGCATCATTAAGTGAAATGATATAGCGGTTTTGTGTGTTGCTGTAGATGCTGCTGGATGGCGGTTGTGTTGGAGGAAGGCTGGGCGGCCAATCAGGCTCTGCTCCAGAAAGACCCGTGAAGGTAAATAGCCAGGACATTCAAAACTGAATGAGTACATTTGATTTAAAACTAAAAGCAAATAAGTTATGAATTAGTTGAGTTTTTTTTGAGGCAATGTCACACATAATGTATCATCCATATTTTTTTTTTATCATTTATGCATGATGCTTTATGTCAGGAGCAATATTGGTCAACTTATGTTTAATGTTATTGTCATCGGCCTAATAAGAAGACAAATGATTTCTGCCAGTTGATCTGATTTGTTTTTGTCAGCGTATATATTGGTTATCCACTTCCAAATATAAAGGCTTATCATATTGGCATATGGCCACTACTTGTAATCAATTCAGAACCGAAAATGACTAGTATACTTAATATGTGTGTGTGTAAGCGCATTATACTCTGCTAAGCTAATCCTCACATTGAACCTTTAGAAACAATTGAAAACAGTCTTAAAAACTATTATTTTTGAGGCAATTTCACACATATCTTTCATTGAAAGGACAGTTCTAATGTACTGTAATAAAATGCTGGGTTTCCTTCATACACTACCTGAGAAAAGTCAGCCTGTCCAAATAATAACTTGACTTCTAGTTGATCATTTGGTATCAAAAGAGGCTTATATAAAAGGCCTCTAGATGACATTTATGATCATGCTTTGATTTTTAATGATTTAATTAGGACAGTAATGTCTGACTTTGCTTAGACAAAAGTCTTGTCACTTAACTGAAATAATGTACAGTATAGAATATAAAGTCATGCTGCAGTGGAAAAATAATTAATACTGTGTTTGACTCCCATGTGCTTGGACGACTGCATCCATACATCTCTGAAATGACTCAAATCACTTATTAATAAAGTCGTCTGGGTTGGCAAAGAAAGCGTTCTTGCAGGACTCCCAGAGTTCATCAAGATACTTTGAATTTATCTTCAATGCCTCCTCCTTCATCTTACCCCGGATATGCTTAATAATGTTCATGACTGGTGACTGGGGTGACCAATCCCGGAGCACCTTGACCTTCTTTGCTTTTAGGAACTTTGATGTGGAGGATGAAGTATGAGAAAGAGCGCTATCCTGCTGAAGAATTTGCTCTCTGCTGTGGTTTGTAATGTAATGGGCAGCGCAAATGTCTTGATACCTCAGGCAGTTGGATGTTGGGACAAAAATCTGCTTAAATGATCAACTAGAATCAAGTTATTATTTTTTGCTCTTACAAGTGGGATCGACGACAAGACTTTTGTCAGGTAGTGTATTGTCCCAACACAAATCAATTAAGGTGTTTTAACAAATTTAAGTGGATTCAACATGAAACAATTACATTGTCCTAAGAAAACCTCAAGAATTGTGTTGTTTTAACTTATTTTAATCAAGTAGTTTGAACAAGCAGCAAAAAAAAAAAAAAATGTGTTTGATGTATTCAGTCAAAAATAATTTATGCCTATAAACATGACTTCATGTAGTTATGCATGTTAATAAATACTTGTTTTTGATGTTATTGTTGTCAGCCTGATATGAAGAGAAACTCATTCAGCCAGTTGATCTGACTTAACTACACATATAGTGGTTATACAATACCTGACAAAGGCCTTGTCATGATTTTAGTTGTAAGAGCTATAAATAATAACTTGACTTCTAGTCGATCATTTGGGAAAAGTGGCAGAAGGTCGATTTTTCAAATGAATCATCTGTTGAGCTGCATCAGAAACCAATTGGAACCTGCATGGACCCAAGACTCAAACAGAAATCCGTCAAGTTTGGTGAAGAAAAGTCATGATTTTGGGGTTACATTCAGTATGGGGGTGTGGAAGAGATCTGGAAAGAACAACAGCCTGAAGTATGAAGACAT